GTCTATCGCTAAGTATTTTTACACTCAGTTCTTTGCGTCGAAAGCACGTTGCCCCACCATCACTTCAGCAGCCTCTTGTAACTGCGCTTCATCTTCAGAATCGATGACTGAATACTACTGCCGGGAACTGAAAATGGGAGAGACGGTTTGACGATTGAAGTAATCGGATCGGACAGTGTGCCGACTCTAGTGGAGTTCTTACTACCTGGAAACAGAAAAGACCCCGTCATGCTGGAAGAAGATGAAATCGATTGCTTTTTTGAGAAGACTGATAAGGAAGATCTGAATAATCCTCGTCCAGTCTGTCTCTTGTTACAAATCTACCAGTTGTCTACTAAGACCATCACCATCTGAATGTCAGCAAGTCTGGGCGAGCAACAACCAAAAGAACAGGCAAGATTCTGAAGAACTACAACATATTATCATCTTTATAAATCAACTCCTTCACCATTCGAGGGGAATCAAGTTTCCTAGGTGATTCGCATTCCTCGACTACAAAAAGATATTCCGTACTGTCGAGCATAATGCAATATGGATTGCACTTGCAGAACGCCGCATCGACGCCCTTGCGTGAGGTTGCCAAAGATAAAGAACTCTAGCTGCTTCAGGGCATCACATTGTTCGACACCCCTTCCGGATTCCTATAGGGAAAGTAGTGAACCGTTGGGATGCTATATCTGCGAAACGTTTCTCTGTTTGTTTGGAAATGGTGTTCCGAAGGTTAAACCGGAAGGGCGGGGAAAACATCAGTTATGAGCAGCTGAGCCGTGTAAACTTCGCTGATGACTACAGTAAGCGTCAGTCAACTATAAGACGTTCTGCAAGAGGTCGAAAGAAGCAGTGCAGAAGTCTCATTGCGAAGTGATCCTTGAAAAACGAATTTACTGCGATCGGTTGCCCTGCCGAAAGCCGATGTCTTATTGAACTCTGTAAAGATACAAGTTGATAAATACATTTGCATGGGCTTTGAGGTCAGCGTACCGAATGACGATCAGACTGGAAGGATTCAAGAAGAATGAATGTCGGTTATCGCTCTTTCAATTCCATTGAAAACCGCAATATCCAGATCGAAATCCGCGTTCGCGTTTTCAGTTCTGTTGTTGCGTCGACGATGTTGTATGGCTGTGGGACGTGGTCACTTAAGAAACCTGACAAGCTCCAGCCGTATGCCTCAGAAAGAATAGGAAGTTTCACATCATGGACACATCCCAATACGGAGTCAGACAGAGAGTTTTCGTCGAAAGTAAAGGCAGAAACTACGATCGGCCAGGCACGTAGTTCGGCCATCGACGGCAACGATTGTTGGCTTGTACTCTCCTCTGCGGATTAGGCCATCTTTGGAAGGAGAAAGCTCGAAACCGTGAGATTTGATGGTCGTATTGCGACCAGCGCGATACGTCGCCGTTTACCGATCATTCCAGATGATGCAATTGTAGAGTTTAACATCTCTGTACATGAGATGGTTTTTTTCTAATTGTTAATCCCCCTCCCCCGCCCCATGATGTACTCCACAAGAGTATAAATGTAATTTTGCGTTATCAATAAATTATGGGTTAAAGTCTAAAAGTTGCATTTTGCTTAAATGACGAATCTCAAGTTCCATAAATAAGTTTCAAGACTGAATTTCTTTGTATGAATGTACGAATCACATTCGGCATATTGTTGTCGAGTACAGGCTGTATGGACTTGTTTGATATGTCATTTGATTTTCGTATCCGTGAAGATCTTACAGCACGGTGTAAAATTGAACTTGAATAGCAAAATTAATATTAAATTTTATATCATTGCATTCCAGATGCGTTTATCAGTGTATGCTATTTTAAATTATTAAACCATGGTATTTCATTGTTTTGTTTGCTTTGGAAATTGTTTCAGGGAATGAGCTCTTTTGTTTGTAGGGAATATCGAAATTGAAGCCGACCTTTCGGCTGGTCGACCCCCGGACATCGTCTCCTCTAATCATCGACAGCGACACAGCGGGGCCGACAATATCTGGCCAATTCCCGTTGTCAGAACTGACCAAGTCAGCGTCGGTCCACCGATTACTTTCTCGTCCAATGTGCGTGTGGCGTTTCCGACCTCAAACGTCATCCCGATGTCGATGTCCCATGGAGGTCGTCAGCAGCGCGGACCCGTTTACATAGCACCGAACTTGGCCGGAACCTCCATAAACTCTCCATCGAATCAAGAAGTGATCTTACTCAGCCCGCATCAAGCTCAGCAGTTACCGCTGTTTATGGTCGATCCGTTTTTGCCTTGTCCATCGCGGCACTTTGACCAGAGGAACCGCAGAATCAGCCGACCGTACAGAGAGACAGAAACAACGGTTAGTAATCAGTACATTGTTTTTTGCTGGACATTGGTTGCACTGCCTCTAAATCTACATAAATTCCAATCGGTATTCGATTGTTAGTTTATCAAAGTTTGAAGCATTCGAAGAAGTGCATGAAAACTCGTAGTCTTCGTGGACGCGTCTGTGTAGTAGGCCCTCCAGGGGAAGTACAAACGGGAATACTATCTTAAGAGTGGAAG